CACGAACGAGTTTTGAAATGTCTAAATCTTTCGGTTTCGGCCAAAAGTCTCGCTAAGCTTTTTGTTTCGGCTTCGGTTTTAAGCCGAAAGTTATTATAAACTTTCGGTCTGGTTTCGGTTTCGGCTCAAATAATAAAAAAATCACTTTCGGTCGGCTTCTACTGTATATTTAGGTTTGGTTAAGATGATAATTGCCTCAAATGCTAGTTCACTTAAATATTATAAAAAATTACGTCAATGTTTCTCAAACATTGAACAGCGTTGGAGTTTTTTTTAACGTACAAGCATATACTATTAGTAGGCAATTTAGTCCCACCAATGCCCCTATATGACCTACATCATCAGGGCAGTGATATCGCAGCCGGGACTGCTTCAGCACTTGCAGCTGGAGCCATTGCCTTCAAGGACAAAGGGGAGACCGACTTCAGTGCCCGACTTCTCTCAGCGGCTGAGAGTTTGTTTTCATTCGCCACACAAAACAGGTGAGCTAATGTTTTGTAGAAAATAGAATAGGCAAAAATGAACCTGGTTTGTTACAGTAGAAAGCTTAGAGTGAAAGATGTTTAGGCTTGACAGGAAGATGCTTAGTCTTGAAAGGAAGTTGTTTAGGCTTGACAGGAAGTAGTTTAGGCTTGAAAGGACGTTATTTAGGCTTGACAGGAAGTAGTTTAGGCTTGACAGGAAGTTGCTTAGGCTTGACAGCAAGTAGTGTAGGCTTGAAAGGAAGTAGTTCAAGCTTAACAGAAGGGTTCTTAGGCTGGACAGGAAGTTGTTTAGGCTTTACAGGAAGTAGTTTAGGCTTGAAAGGAAGTTGCTTAGGCTTGACAGGAAGTTGTTTAGGCTTGAAAAGAAGTTGTTTAGCCTTGGCAGGAAGTTGTTTAGCCTTGACAGGAAGTTGTTTAGCCTTGACAGGAAGTTGTTTAGGCTGGAGCTATTTAAAACGGTATCATAATTTGGGTAATGAGGATAATAGAAAATAATACAAACTCAAAATTCAAAAAAGAAATTAATTAAATTAAAATCTGAGGGAACTTGAGGATAATTAGAAAAAAAATATACCCAATTGCTTCCATATGATAATAAATTAATGAAGAAAGTTTCTTATGACTTTCACTGACACTAATAAAAAAATATGTATCAAACATGTAAACAAAGGTTCATGGTATAAAATAGTAAAACAAAGTACGTGGAAGCTTGAAATATAAAGACAGGACAATAAAAGAAGAACATTTCGGCCAAGAGCCTTCGCTGGCAGACGGGACGAATAAAGAAATAACAAGAAATAGAAATTGCTCACAATTAATTTTATTTGCCTGAAGTTGGGTTTTCCGAAACCAAAATCTTAACGAAAACAAATATTTTGGATATATGTAAAATACAAGAAATACGAAAAGAAATACGGAGTAATTGAGGATCACTATAAGGGGAATATTTGATTGATTCCATGTGGTGCTATTGTGCCGAAAAGCGGAATTAACTTGTTTTCCTTCTAACCCGCCGCTGGTGTGTAAGGAAATCTGATGGCCATATCTGATGTGCGTTTGTGTTTATCTCCGTTGAAATGTGATCATACCGGGGAAAGTTTGCCGACGATGCTCAGTGAACCCATCTGATACTTTTCTTCCAGTTTCGCTTATAAAACAGGAGCCGCCTCTGCGGCACACAAACAGGGCACACTTTCCCCGCTCTCATCCTAATTTCTTTAAATTGTATTTATTTTGTATTGAGTTAAATCGATGGCTGAATATGTATCTTTTAGTTTAACGGGCCTAGGAGATATTGGGCAACTCATTAATGTGCTTCAAATGTGGCAGCGACGAGCAGCACGCTTTGTCCTAAACCGCTACAGGAATACCTCTAGTGTTGACAGCAATGGTCACCATTGGAGAAACGACGACGACAATCCAGGCTCTCCATGATGTACAAGATAAATAATGGGCTGGTCCACTGTTCCAGTATTAAACAGAAACTCGTCCCTCTCCCCCATAGACAACAACGAGGCCATGACAGGCAATTCAGGCTCCTACCAGCAAGAAGCCAGTATAGGAGCTGCTCATTCCTGCCCAAGACAATCAGGGACTGGAACAATCTTTCAAAAGGAACGGTTGAGGCGACAACACTAGACACATTTGTGTCTATTGCCTCCAGCCTTCAAACCCCTTGTGCATGATTTCCTCATCAACACCAGTAACAGAAACATTGCAAATCCCATCTACATGCATAGGAGCCAAAATGATCAATAAATTGATCGTGGGCCCTTAAGATATAGAAGAAGAAGAAGGTGCAGCAATGATGTCACGCTGATTAGCTGGTTATATAATGATTGTTCTTTGTAAGTTGTATTCTCATAGCAACCTAACATTGTTCCAGCTGTAAGTTGTATTCTCATAGCAACCTAACATTGTTCCAGCTGTAAGTTAAACTTGATGTTTGTTTGTTTTTTTAACTTTTAAAAGTTTTTCAACACACACTGAACTTTGCAATGTTTTCTTCAGAGGCGTCTTCAACGGATCACATGGGTTCTACACCTCAAGCGGTGACACCGATGAGCTCTGTGAGGCCAGCGTTTGGTTATATAGGGCAACTAAAGACAGTCGTTACCTGGCCAAGGCTAGAACATTCGCAGATTTAACACTGGCCTGGTCACTGGACTGGGACAACAAGGCGCGTAAGTGAACGATTCGGTCATTATTTGTAAAGTTATTCAAATAGCGGAACAGGATATTATTTGGCTTGAACCAAAAAATACAGGACAATTGCAAAGGCGTTTCGGCTAAACGCTTTCTTCAGCAGACAAGACAAAAAAGGAAGAAAAAAAAATAGAAATTTAAAATGTTTGTTTTGGAAGATTCTTATCTCTTTATTCAATGCGTAAACAATTACTAAATGTTTACCTTCATACGTTACGTACTTTAATTTACAAACAATGAGTACTTTAAATGAACTAAAACTTGATAATGTAGTACTTTAATTTACAAACAAGGAGTACTTTAAATGAACTAAAACTTGATAATGTAGTACTTTAATTTACTAAAACTTTAAAACTTTATGTATTAACAAGAGTTCTGAAAATATGAGGTGGCTTTTCATCGGTGAAAGTTGCCATACGACTTCTGTCAAATTATGTCGAGAAATGTGTAATCAGTAGCGAAACAACAAAATAGATTGGCGTCCCTTTTAACTAGAGTGTGCCGTGCATCGGAATCGTTGCAGGACCATATGTCCTCAGCTACGCTTCAATGAGCAGTAAATTTGCATACTTAAAATAATCTTTCAACAACAAAATTTTTATAACTTCTTGTATTTAATAACTTTTTATTATATGTCTTTATAATAAATTATTGTAATACCATCTTGTAATACCATTTTGTAATACATCTTATGATGCCGTCTCTTAATACTTTCTTGTAATTCCTTCTTGTAATACCATCTTGTAAAACCACCCTGGAATACCATCTTTTAAAACCATCTTTTTCTGCCTTCTTGTAATACCATCTTGTACAAACCACCCTGGAATACCATCTTTTAAAACCATCTTTTTCTGCCTTCTTGTAATACCATCTTGTACAAACCACCCTGGAATACCATCTTTTAAAACTATCTTTTTCTGCCTTCTTGTAATACCATCTTGTACAAACCACCCTGGAATACCATCTTTTAAAACCATCTTTTTCTGCCTTCTTGTAATACCATCTTGTACAAACCACCCTGGAATACCATCTTTTAAAACCATCTTTTTCTGCCTTCTTGTAATACCATCTTGTACAAACCACCCTGGAATACCATCTTTTAAAACCATCTTTTTCTGCCTTCTTGTAATACCATCTTGTACAAACCACCCTGGAATACCATCTTTTAAAACCATCTTTTTCTGCCTTCTTGTAATACCATCTTGTAAAACCACCCTGGAATACCATCTTTTAAAACCATCTTTTTCTGCCTTCTTGTAATACCATCTTTTTCTGCCTTCTTGTAATACCATCTTGTCATACCATCTTGTATTAACATCTTTTAATACCATCTGGCACTGAAATCTTGTAATACCATCGTGTACTGCCTTCTTGTTATACGTTCTTCAAACTTCCTTACCGATATCTACAACCAAAATATTTCTTGTAGAGACTGAAAAGCGTTTAAATTACGGTAAGTGTGAATCTGTTTAAAATCTATAACATCGAAATTTTTATGGCATCCTTAGAGACAAGCTATCATAAATTTTATTATTCCTACAACAGCCGCTTGCCAGGAGCTGCTGTTCGAAGAGACAAGGGAAGACCAATACAAGAACGCCATCTTGGCTTACTTTAATGAATGGTTGCCAGGTGGCACCGTCACGTACACGCCCTGTGGTCTGGCCTGGAGGAGTAAATGGGGCTCACTAAGGTAAGCACCTTACTTGAAATTACTTTTTACACTAGTTAAAAATGCAATTTTTGTGCAACCGGGTTTTTTTCCTTTCAAAATAAAAAAGGTCAATGATTTATTACTCAATAAATAAAAGCAAACTAGACATTCATCTTAATATTAAAGATTTAAACGAAGAATTAATTTAAAAAACAAAATAAATAAACAACTTTAGTAACAGAGTATTAGTATGTGTAAATCATATTTATATTTAACTAAATTTGTTTTAAAACGCAAATAAATTTACTATTGATCAATGTTAATTCCTGTCTTACACATGTGGTCTATTTTCTTGATCGCAGAGAGTCTGCCAACACAGCGTTCTTGGCACTGGTGGCAGCCGAGGCGGGGCTAGAGACGGAGAAGTTGAGAGAATGGGCCGTGGAGCAGATCAACTACATCCTCGGGGACAACAAACACGACACCGGCTGCTACAGCTACCAGATTGGCTACGGCACCAAGTACCCGACCCACCCCCATCACCGAGGGGCGTCCTGTCCCAGCAAACCGGCCCCTTGCGGGTGGGACGAATTCCACACCCTGAACCCAAGCCCACAGGTCCTCCAGGGAGCCCTGGTCGGCGGCCCCGATGACAACGACGACTACGTGGACAACCGGGAGGACTACGTGCTAAACGAGGTGGCCACGGATTACAACGCTGGCTTCCAAGGGGCGCTGGCTGGCATTGTCCACCTCGAGGTTATCAGCGGATTGCCCACAACCAACAACAAATGCCCATGTCTTCAATAAAAAAAAAAGACTTGTTTTTTTAGTCGGTCTATTAAGATCAGGTTTGCGTTTAGATTGTGTTCTATAGCCTGTTATTGACGGCGTGCGATAAAAAGGCCTTATTGCTGGTACATAGTTATCTATAAATCTTTTCCAGCCTTGTTGGCATCAACCGGCAGAGGATAAAACTAAGAGGAAAAAGGAAAGCTTTAAAGTCTTTAAAGATGGGGAAACTTAAGGTGTCCATTTTTTTGTTTACTTGGGAAAACTACACCTTATGAATTACTGCGCTTATTCAAATTTCGTATGTTTCTCATAAATATGTTAATATAATGCCTAAATATATGATCCCATAAAGAATGTATATGACACATACAAAGACCTATAACATAAAGGTGATTTTTCAATAAAACATTTGTTAAACTATGATTGATATAGACGCAGAGTTGCTTTCAGTCGCTTTGTGTGTGTGTGTGAGTGAGTAAGTTTGTGTGTTTGTATGAGTGTTTGTGTGCGTGTTTGTGTTATTGAGTGTTTGTGTTAGTGAGTGTTTGTGTTAGTGAGTGTTTGTGTTGGGGAGTGTTTGTGTTAGTGAGTGTTTGTGTGTGCTTGTGTGTTTGTGTGAGGGTTTGTGTGTTTGTTTAAGTGTTTGTGTGAATTTGTGTGTGTGTTTATGTGAGTGCTTATGTTAGTGTGAGTGTTTGTGTGTGTAGTCTTACAAACGCTTCTTGGATTAAAATAACATAATGATCCAATAAAAAAGAGTTATAAAATTAAAGAGGATCACCTTGTGGACTTTAAAGACTCATCTCAAGTAATTTTTTTTTTTTACAGAAAGACTCCTTTAAAATTTATTATTTTAAACGGACAACCAATAAATCCAGGGACACCAAAAATCAACACCAGAACACCCCCCCCCCCCACAAAAAAAATAAAAAAAGAAAAAATGCACTTTCAACTCGGCACAATATCAGGTCCTCACACTTTTGACATTACACAGAAAAAAAAATAAAATCGCGTTTTAAAAGTAAAATATACCTGAAATACGGCTGCAGTTACAAGTTCAATCCAAAAGTCGAATTCATATTTGTATTATTGTCTATAGTCCGAACCTGAGCTGGGAGTGGGGGTGGGGAAATTCACGCAAGTGTGGAGACTGACCCCCTGTCGAAGGGTGTCTGATTGCACCGAGGCGAGGCTAGTGGGAGGAACAGGAATGCAAAGATGGGTGAGCAGTTAAAGAGAAGTGTCCCTTTCGACGGAGGGGAGGCAGTGTTTCTTTCAGCTATATCTCCGAGGGGGGGGGGGGCGGGCGGAAGTGCCAACCCCCCGGGGAAAGC